TAAATAGCAAACCAATCTACACTCCAAACTACAAGTAGGGCTAAGTTTAGTTACCAAACGATTACACTTAGTGCATTCTGCTCTCCTCTCCTTACTATTTACTTATTTAATTGGACAAAACACATAAAAGATGGCTGAAAAACGGTGCAAAATATTTATTAACGAAATGCAAAATACTGCACTTTCTGAAATTTTAACAAGGCCTTGAAATCTGAAATTCAAGTATTTTGTTAATTAACTTATTTTGTTACTAACTTTCTTTGTATCTCTTGCACTTGAAGTTGTTGAATATGTTTTCGGTCTTCACTTGCTGCCTCTCTTTCTCCCTTACAGCAGCAACCTTCTGGGGGCCATGTCCCTGTAGATGTTTATTACTTCACTGTGGATAACAGGAATGTCCTTCTCAATATAGCGAGGAGGAGAGATTAGAAATGCCTCTCTTCTGTATTTTGGCTTCTGAGTGGTGTCTTCAACACCGGCAAGCTTAGTCATTTGTTCATCCAATCAATCAAACAATCAATCAATGTTTACTTTATATAGCCCCAATGATCACAAATGTTTACATTTGTCTCAGTGGACTTCACAGTTTGTACAGAATATTCAGGTATGGACAACACGACACTCCTCTATCCTTAGACCTCACATCGTACAAGGAAAAACGTTCCAGAGAAAAACCCACAGTTTAAAGGGAAAAAATGGGAGAAAACCTCAGGGAGACAACAGGAGGAGGTGATCCCTCTCCCGGACGGGACAGACGTTGCAATAGATGCCGTTGAAATTGAAAAGATAATACATTTAACAATATAGGTAGACCGAATGTTGGAAATGCATGTTGTTATAATAATAAGAAGAATCCACGAGGATATCCATCCAGGGACTTTATGATCCAGGACCACAGGCAACAGTGCACGGCCACGACTCAAGATCCAGGGCTCGCGATCCAAGGACCTCAGGACCGCAGCACGACGATCATCCTATGACTTCCGGATCCCGGCGGTATATAGACACAAAAAGGAAAGAAATTTGGGGAAGCTGGGTTAATCGGAACATGAGAGTACACAAACAGAGAGAAGGAAGAAAGTAAGAATGTCACCCCGACAAACTAAGCCTATATCAGCAAAACTAGGGCTGAATCTAATCAGCCCTACACTATAAGCTTTATCAAAAGGGAAGGTCTTAAGCGCACTCTTAAAACGGAATAGGGTGTCTGCCGACCGAACACAAACTGGAAGGCTTGATTCCACCAAAAGTGGAGCTTGATAAGAAAAGGCTCTGGCTCCCATTGTACTTTTAGAGGACTCTAGGAACAAACCAACAACCCTGCATTCTTGGGAACGCATGCAATGTAGGCGCAGTAGGGGTAAAATGAGTTCTTTAAGGTAACGATTGGCGCCTGGCCATGTATTAAGGCTTTGGTAGGCCGAGAAGAAGAAGATTTTAAATGCTTATCCCTCGTGTTCTATAGGGAGCCAGTGTAAGGGCAGGCCAGAACAGGAGTAATGGTCCGCGTCCTTTCCTAACTGGTTAGTACACGAGCTGCAACATTTTTTTAATCAGCTGAAGCGATTTAACTGGACTTCTGGTACACCCCTGATAATAAGGAGTTACAATAATCCAGCCTTGCAGAAACAAATGCATGGACTATAGTTTCTCTGCATCGTTACGTAGAGTAGGCGGTTTCTTGAGATTGATTTTATGGTGGGTGTTAAAGGATAACATCCTGATCACAATATAACACCAAGATTCCTTTACAGTTCTCACTGGAGGCCAATGAATTGCCATCCATAGTATATCTTTAGATTAATTTGTTTCGTAGATTCTTCGGGTCGAGTACAATAACTTCAGTTTTGGTTGTGTTTAACATCCAAAAAGTTTAAGGTCATCCACGTTTTTTAAGGTCCTTGAGGCAGTCTTGAATTTAATTTAGATGATTAATTTCATCAGGGCTTGATTGATAACATATAGTGTATTATCGGCATAACAATGAAATTGTACAGAATTTGATTCTTTATAATGATTGTCTAAACGGAAGCATATATAATGTCAACAAAATAGTTCTTCTCACCACTCACCTTTCAAAATAAACCAAGAAAAGCCGCATAATGTGGGACAGTAAGTGGGAGGTGCTGCTACCTGTCTGTATGAAGGGACTGCCGATGTCCGCACCGCTGTGGAGGGAGGGAGGGAGGGAGGGAGGGAGGGAGGGAGGGAGGGAGGGGAGAGAGAGCAGCGGAACTTCACAGTCTAATCTCCTGACCTGTATTTTTTATTTTTTATTCAATCAATATATTTTGGACAGTGTGCGCAAACAGCAGTAGATACATATTCATTAATTTAAAAAAAAAGAAAAAAAAAGCACCCCATAAAAAGGACACTTTCTCTGGAGGAAGAAAAAGGGCAGGGACTCATGCCCACTTTGAAGTCTATGTCTGCCTGCTCTCACCGGCTGTGATCCGTCCGGAACAAATCGCAGGTTTATTCCTGATCTAATCTCCTGCGTTCAACCCTTCCCCTCAGCAGTCCTCAGGCTGCAGTCAATGAAGGAAGTATCCAGCGCAACATGAAAGGACTATCATCACTCTGTGTTTTTGCAATAATGATGTTACCAGCTGCTACAGGTAAGACCATGTAGTGGCTCGGTTTGTTGTAGGTGGGCCTCAAAGTCTAAAAGTGTTCGGGAACTACTGAAAATTAAAACAATATTTTTGGTGATTATTATTAATGAGAAACAGTTTATTGGTGGTACTTAATAAGTACTTTATAAATATGAATTACAAGGAAAAAGCCCTTGTTGATTTGTGAGAAAACAACAAGGCCTGTTTTACTATACCGTCCAACCCTACAATGAAATCTCTTTGTACTTTACTGAAAGTATTCTATCAACTATAATGTATGTCAATGAAAAGCAGCAAAGCTCTGAGAAGTGTGAATCACCACATTTTTGCTTGGAAAACCAAAAATTGAATTCATTGTCAAATGTATTCGGAGTATAGTCTATTTGTCTCACCAATGATTGATTAAGAGGATTTATTTCAGGACGGTTGTAAAAGACTGCACCGATTAGCTATACCTAATAAACTCTCAGTTCAGATTTAGTGAGTCTGAGCTCTCCTAGGGATTAATCACAGCTTACCTCTTTTGCCCGTTCGTTTACCTGAGCTTGCATTAGCTAACGAGGATTGCAAGTCATTCAAACTCATGTGGCGGTCTGGAGGAGATTATTGTCTTCAAGCAGCAGCAGCCTAAAGCAGCTCTAG